TCACGAATATATTTGCTCTGTATAAGGAGAATAGAACCATTTTGCTGGTGTTTGACCTCTATTCCCATAAAGTAATCCAACTTGCCAAGATTCTTTAGAGAAAATATAGCATTAAGTTGACAAATAAGGTGTTGAGTAAACTAAGATGAACTTCAAGTGATGATAATATCATCTACATAGAACTAAAGATAGAAAACATTGTCATTTATGTGATAAATAAAAAAGAGAAGGATCACATTTGCTAGCCTTAAACCCAAACTATAGCAGAGTAGTTTGAAATATGTCAAACCATTGCCTGAAAGCTTGTTTCAGGCCATATAAGGATTTGTTCAACTTGCAGACCATAGTAGAGTCAGTCTCAAAACCTGGTGGTTGCTACATATAAATAGTTTCATTAAGCAGACCATTTAAAAAGGCATTATTAACATCTAATTGATGAATTTCCCAATTATTTGTAATAGCCAAAGTGAGAATCAATCTAATAGTCATAGGTTTAATGATAGGAGAGAATGTTTCATTGAAATTAAAGCCAGGTTGTTGATGAAATCCTTTAACCACCGATCTGGCTTTGTACCTGTTTATAGTACTATCAGGATTTTCTTTAATTTTGAAAACCCACTTGCAACCTATAGCTTGCCTGTTTTCTGGAAGATTAACAAGTGTACATGTACTATTGTTAATCAAAGCATTATATTCCTGTTGCATAACTGCTAACCACTTAGGATCCTTCAAGGCTTGCCTAACACTCTTTGGTTCAAATTCAATGAGAAAGATAGAAAAATGAATGTTGGGTTTTGAAATACTAGACTTAGATCTGGTTTGCATAGGATGAACATTCTTAGATGTGATAGGAGTGACACTCTCTACCCCAACATTCAAGCAGCCGGTGTAAAATGCTTTAAAACAGTCTTAGATTGGTAAGAAGTTTTCATAATAACACCAAATGAGTCAAAAAGTCGTGATTGAATCAAATGAAATTGAAAATTGAGAAATCCTACGATAATTTTGTATGTGTTAATAAGAATCGAATTCATTGACTATTCTCTAAATTGATGAATTGATTGACTTTTTCAACTCATATTTTTCTTGATTATATTAACATATTCTCAATGCATATATTTTTACTAGAAAGTACTTTTATCAACGATATAATTTCACTTATTTTTCTTTTATTATCATATTGGACACTACCAATTATTGTAATTCCATATTTATATTTTGCCTAAAGAAATAAGTCATTTTTAACAAGAGTTACATGCTTGATATTATAGTAAGGGTCTTATTGACATTACCATCATGTATTTTAATTTTTACATTACTCTTGCTAATGATAACAATTTATTCATAACTATATGTTGATTTCACAGTTTCACCATCCCTAATAGGCTTTTTGACCTATGTTGACCTATGTGGCACTATAATGAAAATTTATTATCAATATGAAACTATTTTGAAACATTTTACATTTTTTAGGTGATTAACGCTCATGTTATTAGTTAACCCAATGACACTTCTGTCAAGTCATTTTTTTTGTTTCTATTAAAGTAGTTCTAGAAAAGCGCATGTGATGTCGAATTTAGTGTTGTTAAAATAGATTACGTGATGACATGTCATGCAACAAGCTCCAATAACACTTTTTTGTTTTTATTTGTCTCACAACAATCTCTTGGGGGATGTGTTAAATTTTTTCCCCCAAAAGTGACACAAGAGCCTATTGTATTTTTTATTTTATTTTTATAAATGTGACGCTTTATTATATATATATATATATATAAAAGTTATTGTTACGCCAAGAATGAGATGATAAACACACACGAGATTCACTCCCTGTTAAATTCTTTTAAAACAAGAAACAAACAAGAAAAAATTAAGAGAGAAAGATTAGGAAAGAAGAACACACAACAATATACGTGGTTCGACTTAGAGCAATGCTCTCAATCAGTCTACATCCACGGGGCAGCCACTGGGATTAAATTTCTCTTAAGAAATTGATAACAAATTTGTTCTCTTTGTCAGCATTACAAAACAGAGGCTGCACCAATGCCTTATATACTTAAGAATAGAGGAACTATTCTACACATCAAATATCTAATATATTGTTGAGAACCAACAGTCAACAATCTCCACCTTGGTTCAAAAACAGCAACAGAGAACAAACAGTAGCAGAACAGCTTCAAACATTCAATCACCATGCAGCTTAATCAAGTTTAGACAGTGATAAAACTTTGTGCTGGGAACCGTTTTTGTAATCATATCAGCAGGATTATGATCTGTTGATATCTTCTTCACTATCACAGCCCCCCTATCAATGACTTCTCTGACAAAGTGCAGCTTGATGTCAATGTGTTTTGTCCTCTCATGGTGCAGAGAATTCTTGGACAAATGAATGGCACTCTGACTGTCACAGTGAACTGTGATCACCTTGTCTTGTAGCCTCAATTCTCTTGCAATGCCTTCAAGCCATATAGATTCCTTTACTGCCTCTGCAAGAGCTATGTACTCAGCCTCTGTGGTTGATAAAGCTACTACCTTTTGAAGTGTAGCTTTCCAGCTTATTGCAGTACCAAAAACTGTAAATACAAAACCTGTAAGGGACTTTCTGGAATCAAGACAGCCAGCATAATCAGAGTCTACAAAACCTTCAATAGCCACTGCCTTTGTGCCATTTTTAGCTCCACCATAGACTAGAGCCCTTCCAATTGAACCCTTTATGTACCTCAATATCCATTTGACTGCCTGCCAGTGAGACTTGCCTGGATTTGCCATAAATCTACTCACAATGCTTATTGCATATGCTATATCAGGCCTAGTACAGACCATAGCATACATGAGAGATCCTACCACACTTGCATATGGAATGTTTTTCATGTAAACAACCTCTTCATGAGTCTTTGGTGATTGGTTTGAGCTGAGTTTGAACTGATGTGACATAGGGGTGATTACAGGTTTAGAGTTAGACATTCCAAACCTCTCCAGAACCCTTTTGAGATAAGTTTCTTGAGACAGATGCAATAGATTCTTCCTCCTATCTCTTTTGATTTCAATCCCCAAAATCTTCTTAGCAGGCCCCAAATCTTTCATTTCAAATTCCTTGCACAAGTCAGATTTTACTTTGATTAATTCATCCTTCTTGTTGCTTGCTATTAGGATATCATCAACGTAAAGCAAAAGAATAATCAGCACAGCATTATCAGGGAATTTAAAATAGACACAATTATCATATTGACTTCTATTGAAGTTAATCTTGGTCATAAATTCATCAAACCTCCTATTCCACTGCCTCGGGGATTGCTTTAATCCATAGAGTGATTTATTCAATTTGCAAACATGATCCTCTTTTCCTTTTTCTACAAAACCTTCAGGTTGCTGCATTAGGATTTCTTCATCTAGTTTCCCATATAGGAAGGCTGTTTTAACATCCATCTGTTCTAGCTCAAGGTCTAGAGTTGCCACCATAGACAATAGAATCCTTATGGACCTATGTTTCACAACAGGTGAGAACACTTCGTTGAAGTCAACTCCCTCCTTTTGAGTGAATCCACGAGCTACAAGCCTGGCCTTGTATCTGGCTGGTTCAACACCTTGGATGCCTTCTTTCTTCTTGACCAACCACTTACAACTGACCACTCTAGAACCAATTGGCTTTTTAATCAACTTCCATGTATGGTTGGCATGCAGAGATTTCATCTCTTCTTTCATGGCATTCAGCCAACTCTGTTTCTCCTTACTAACAAGGACAGATTCAAGATCCATAGGGTCTCCATCCAAAACCTCACTGGCAGTTATTAAAGCAAATGCAATCAAATCTGCATAGCCGTACCTTTCCGGTGGTTTGATTTGCCTCCTGGTTCTATCTCTAGCTAGTTGATAGCTTTCATCTTCTTCATGCTCAAATTCAGATTCATCCCCTTCTAAGGACGTAGCAATTTCTTGGGCTTTAAGAGTTTTCATCTCAGGCTCCACCTCAAAATCAAGATTTTCATGATCAATGACTTTATCCAGGTTAGTGTTTTCCATATCAGCGCCTTGATTTAGTTTGTAAGCCATTTCCGCTTCATTGAAAATAACATCACGACTCACAATGCATTTTCTAAATCCAGCTTCCAAACACCATAGCCTATAGCCTTTAACTCCTTCAGGGTAGCCTATAAAAATGCATTTAACAGCTCTAGGCTCCAACTTGTCTTGCTTAATGTGAGCATAGGCAACACAGCCAAACACTTTTAAGTGTTTAAGACTTGGTGTGTGACCAGACCAGACTTGTTCAGGTGTTTTTAGATTCAGGGCTGTTGAGGGGCACCTATTTATGAGATATGCAGCAGTCATGGCTTTTGGCAGGCCTGCACTAAGTAACATACACCTTACTCTCTCCAATATGGTTCTATTGAATCTTTCTGCCAATCCATTTTGTTGCGGCGTACCAGCAACTGTTTTGTGCCTTGCAATTCCATTTTCTTTACAAAATTGATTAAAAGGATTTGAGCAAAACTCAAGGCCATTGTCAGTTCTAAGACATTTGATTTTTTTGCCAGTTTGATTTTCAACTAGAACCTTCCAGCTCTTAAAGTTTTCAAGAGCTTCATCCTTGGTTTGAAAAAATCCATTTCCTTAATTGAATTGCTTGACCTAAATGTACTTGAATAATCCGTGGCTTAAGGAAAAAGGTGGTGGAAGTGAAACTGAAAGGTGGCATAAAAATGTTATGGATAAGGATTAAAAAACGGAAGGCATAAGAAAAAAAGAGTGTCCAGTAGTTGATTCCCACAATCCTCCATTTACGTCAAAAACATTACCGCTCTTTCAGATGTCCATCTCAACGTCACCACCGCTTTTCTTAATTATCCACTTTGAAAAAAATGCCACGCTGTCACCAAACACCGAATGTTATTAGAACAAACACGCACTACCACACTAGGTTGTTTATAAATACCCCGTCTTCAGACACACACAATCACATACACAACAAATGTCAATTACACTTTTGAGTTCGAATTAAGAACATGGCTTCGTGGGTGAGAGGCAAGTGCGTCGGTAAGGGCGCGTTCGGCGTTGTCAACATCGCGCTTTCCAAACACGACGCTCGCGTTTTCGCGGTGAAGTCGGTCGACATCAAGGCGGGGCGACAGGGACAGGTGGAGGCGTTGGAGAACGAGATTGCGATTCTGAGACGCCTGGCCTCGCCGCACGTGGTGGCTTATCTCGGCGACGATGTCACGTGCGAAGAGGGATTCTTCATCAGGAACCTTCATTTGGAGTACATGCCAGGTGGCACCGTCGCTGACTTGGCTCATGCTGACGTGGACCAGCGGTTGCTCAGGCGCTACGCCTGGTGCATCGTTAGCGCGCTGCGTGATGTGCACGCGCGAGGTTTCGTCCACTGCGACGTCAAGGGGAGGAACGTGCTCCTCGCCGCTGATGGCTCCGTATTAACATCTACCTCTCAACCACATTCCCCACTACAACCACATGTTCAAATTAATATTCCTACGCAACACGACAAATTATAACTCAAATATCAACCCCGCAATATTAATATTAATAAAAACCCAACACCTCTTCTTAATTGATAAAATAATTCCACCCTTAATTGGATCAAAATTCAAAACATGAAACATGAAAAGGCTTTGAAAATAACCGCTTCATTCTACTATATTATAAACAATATTAGGTAACAATCGTGTAATAGGGACATAAAAGTGTATACGATGATGTACTATCTAATTCAAATGGAATAAACCAAAAGTTAATTAAAATAAAAAAAAAACTTAAAAACAATAATCTAGTTGATCTTAATTGAAGGCAAACATTGTTATTACTTATTACACTCGTGTTGTTGAGAAGTGCGGAACTAGACTTGCTCGTAGAAAAAATCCATTTCCTTAATTGAATTGCTTGACCTAAATGTACTTGAATAATCCGTGGCTTAAGGAAAAAGGTGGTGGAAGTGAAACTGAAAGGTGGCATAAAAATGTTATGGATAAGGATTAAAAAACGGAAGGCATAAGAAAAAAAGAGTGTCCAGTAGTTGATTCCCACAATCCTCCATTTACGTCAAAAACATTACCGCTCTTTCAGATGTCCATCTCAACGTCACCACCGCTTTTCTTAATTATCCACTTTGAAAAAAATGCCACGCTGTCACCAAACACCGAATGTTATTAGAACAAACACGCACTACCACACTAGGTTGTTTATAAATACCCCGTCTTCAGACACACACAATCACATACACAACAAATGTCAATTACACTTTTGAGTTCGAATTAAGAACATGGCTTCGTGGGTGAGAGGCAAGTGCGTCGGTAAGGGCGCGTTCGGCGTTGTCAACATCGCGCTTTCCAAACACGACGTTAGATACTGTCATATATTAGAACATTCACTTTTCTTAACTTCCTATACATACCGCAACCTAATCCTCCTTAACTAATAAAATAAAATGAATGGGATTAATGAGCTAATCTAGAATGCATGTCATTTTTTTCCTAATCTTTATCATGTTTCTATTATCTAAAGGGGAATGATGCATGGTGAAGATGAGATTTATTTTATTCATTTTTAAAAAAAAAAAAAGAAACTACCTATATGATGTTAATGGAATGATGACCTAAGAATCACTTGTTATTATAACTCTCCCCTCTCTCTATGTATATATATTATAACAAGAGTTATTTATTATATGTTTGATCCTTTTTTAACGTTTGGGCTTAGACCGACTAAGTGGTGAATGAGGGTGAAAAAAATTGGATACTAATGGGAAACCTACCGGTGAGAAAGATATAGTAAATGAAAACAATGATAGTCCTGTACACCTAATGAAAAGGAGCATCACAATATGATGGATAAACAATTTAATTTAACCTTTCAATTTTGAATCTCTTGTTACATCTTCTAAATTTTATCGTGTTCGATTTTGACATGCTACAATATGTTAGTTAACTCATAATTATATATATATATATATATATATATATATATATTTCTTTATTATCTCGTTGCTTGTTTTAAAATTCCAATCCATCTTATTAGAACAAAATAATACAAACAAATGAACACGCATGCTCAATCAACGTACACCCATGAACGATCATGTCCAAATCCTTGGTCTATGGTTCTTGTCAAGAATATAGGACGGTTCTAATCTCACTGGTCTCTAAGGCCCCCAAGGTGCCTCCATTATAGGGACCCAGTACCTCTGTCACCGTCACCTAGCAAACTCTAAGGTTTGTTGCAGTATTTTAGGCTAGAGAAACCGGTTATCACCTTGAGTGTTATTTTCGATAAGGCTCGCAGGCTCCAAGGCCAAACTTGGGTCGGTCGTACGTCAACCACTCCCTATGTTTAATACCCTAATTCCCCCGGGTGTAGGCGAACTGTTGTGTGCAAAGGTTTGTGTATAATTTGTATTCAAACAGGTGCAAAATTTAAACAGGCAAACAGATATTAAAGCCACACAAATAAAACAAACAAAGTAAAGGAAAAAAATATTTAAATTATTATTCTTAATTTATTAATTTCATCATTTATATGGGCCTGGCCCTATTGAAAAATCTCATTAATTAGGGAATGCCCGGAGACCAGACTAATTCTTGATTAATGGTTTTGCAAATAGGTTCTTCGAGTCGCCAGCAATGTTCTACTCAAAACATTAGAAAAAGAAAATGTAGGGAAGGTATTAAGCACCCCTACATCACCCTTAATCGGTACCCTATGATGAAGCCAACATAAGAAGAATTAATAAGTTATATATTTAATCCCCTTTATTAATGATTATTTACATGCTTGAGATTTAAATTACACAATTGACTCTAAAATGTCTACATGATTGCTTTTATTATAACAATGTTTATCAAAGATAAGAAATAAAAGGGAGAGAAGAAGATTGACTGAAATACCTCTTGAACGAGCTCTATTGAATCTTCAAATATGGAGATTTTTAGGTACTTTGTGACAACCTTTTACACTACAATATGCCTCACAAAAATCTCAAAAATACAAAAAGAGAGAGAGAAAGAGAGAATTTTCGAGCTATAAGGAGCTCTGGATTAATTTTTTGTCCCCATGAGCAATGCTTGAGTCTGCTATTTATAGACATCAGAAATGGCCAGAACGGCCCGTTCCAGACTAGTCTATTGAAAGTAAATTTTGAATCGAGAAGGGCCCGTTCTGGAAGTAGAACGACCCATTCTGGATTGGAATTTAACTCATGACAAATTATGCTGGAATGGCCCATTCCAAACTAGGGTTTTAGGCCTTTTTTAGGAACTTGAAACGGCCCGTTTCGAGTTCGGAATGGCCCGTTCCAGTTTTGGAACAGCCCGTTCTGGGCTATTAAAACCAACTTGTTTGGGCTTTAGGCCTTCTAATGTCATGTCCTATTGTTTCCATACTTGGGAGCTCCTTTTCTTTGAAGATGGAAGTTCATTTCCTTGTTTGTATGCCCCCCAGACGAAATTAGGTGTCTACACCCCTCATTTTATCAAACACCTTACTTACATCCCCGTAGTTCAGTCATCACCATCATCAAGGCTATAAAGCTTGAAGTTTCATGATCCAAGGAGTCCAGTTCTCTCCTTTGATGTTCCTTCTACCATCAATTAAAGGAGGAAACCCATCATGTGGTATCTAGAGCCAAGGATCTTCAAGGTTAATTTCTAGTCTAGTCATTCTTTAAAAAAAAATTTGGTCATGTCTTGTGTCTTCTTGATTGTCTAAAAGTTGTGCTAAAATGGATCATTGTCTTGCCTTATTTTTATGATCCATTTGTCTTCTTTTATGTATTGATTCATGCCATATCCATTATTATGAATCATCTTGGTGTTTAGGCTTCTTTGATTAAGTTTCCACCATTTTTGTTTTAGGTTTTGAGTTGCTAGAAAAAAATTTGGCTGCATTTAAAAAATATCTTCTTAAACATGTGTTTTTATTTTATAATTAATCTGGTTTTTTCATGAAGTCATGTATTTCCAATTTGTCTTAAAAAGGATTCTAAGGATTCTAGCTTAAACACGTTTTGATCATGAATATGCAATGTATGCCATGTGTTTGTTGAAATGGTCATGAGTCCTAGAGTGCTTTAGAGAGTCAATCATCCATGCTAATTAGTCCCAACATGTTCTAAATCACTTAAATGTTCATGTGTGATTAATTTCTTTGCACATCATTGTTAAATTTTTTTTTGGACCATTTTGAGTATTTCCTTATGCACTTGATATGCTTATATCTTGTTTGATGATTTGAGTATGAGATTGGTTTCTATGTGCATATTTTACTGTTGGACATTTGCACATTAAAACTCTAAGAAACACTAAAATTATTGTCTCATTAAGCCATCACAAATTGCTAAAAAGGATACACCAAACTTTGCTAATCAAACCAACAAACACAAAAAGGAGAAACATAAATTCAAAAAAAAAAAATAAGAGGAAAGTGGCTGGACATTAACATTAAAATCGAGTCCTATTCAAGTATATAAAAAAAGGAATCAAAACAAACAAAAGGGAACCTTTGCTAAACTTGTGGACATTTGGACAAAATTTACCCTACCTTAACAATTGGAGTTATTCTTGGACATTTGAACATGACTTAATGGCCGAATAAGACTCTTAATTCAAAACATCTTAAGTGCAACATTTACTTACAAAAAATCTTTTTTTAATTCTAGTGCCATTCTAGGAATTAATCTTTTGAGTGCTTGCCTTTTCTTAATTTGCCTTAATTTCAATTTTGTGTGTTCTTTCTAATTCTTCAATTTTGTCACTTCAATTCCCCTTGAGTTTAGCTTTCTTAATTGTGCATCTTTAGTGTTATTTCTTTGGACTCTTGTACTCTTGGGTGGTTTCTTCTTGATTTGAGGAGTAGTCCGAATTGATTTCAAGACCTTTGGAAGGAATTCTATCATCAAAAAAAGTGCATACACCATTGAGAGGCTAACTTTGGGTGTTCCTTGTGAAGGGGGTGGCGAGTTGAAGACTAGAAGATTTACTTTTTCTTGTTTGAATTTCTCTCTTCCACATTTTATTTTAGGCCACTTGTATTTTTTACCTTTATTCCTTTTCCTTTTGGCTTGTGTAGACCCCTAAAATTGTCCGGGTCGGAAATAAGACTCGAAGACTCTCGAAGACCGAAGGAAAGTCAGCCAGAAGGACTCCTGGAAGACCCTAGGATGATTATCTGTAGGTTTAGAGGTCTTAGAGTAGCTTAAAATAAGGATGTGGGAGGATTGAAGCTCAATACGGCCTCCTAGAAGTTCAGTACGGCCGTACTGAACAATTTGAACTACAATACGGCCGTACTGAAACCAATACGGCCATACTGAAGTTTTTGAACTTCAGTACGGCCGTACTGAAACCAATACGG